TCCCGCCCGAGCCCCACTCGCCACCCCTGTTTGGGCTGCTCGGGGGTCGGCCCCTCAAACCCTTCCTTCGCGAGGCCGACCTCTGATCCTCCACCACACGCCGCCCCTTTCCTCCCGCGTCCTAGACAGCCAGGCCCTGTTCCTGCAGCGGGAACAAAGACCTGGCAGAGAAACACTTCGTCGCCCTGCTCCCCAACGCACAGGACACCATGGCCGCGATGCGCCGCCACAAGCGGAAGTGGACGACTGGGGCGGGGGCGGACTACAGTCCCCAGAATCCTCCACGGCACGCCGACTTATTTAGGCTCCTGATGGCGACGTAGAGGAGCGTCCACCTCGAGTCCTGTCCGAAGCGGTGTACGCAGGTAAGTGGGGGACCACGTGATGACCCGGCCTCAGCTTTGGGGTACTGCTACACTTTTCTTCCCTTTATTTGGTTTGGTTTTAGAATTGCTTAAGATAAAAGGCTAAATCAAGGCCCTGTTACTCCATCATGGGCAGGTTCCAAAGCAATGGAAAAAATATCCTCTTGTGAGGATTAACAACAACAAAAAGCAAAGGGGTTTTCTCAAACAAAAAGGACATGCAGAGAAGGGCACAGGGCCATTTCCTGCTACCTTTGGTTAAGAACAATGGCTGTATCTATCAGTGGCCTCACATGCTTTGAGAAGTAGATTGCAGAAGCCATTTTCCTATCTTGTGACATTTGAGTTGCCTGTCTTCCATAATCAGAGCTGAAAATGTCAGATGCTCACGTCAAATCTTTTCGTGGTATTGTGGGGGAAGATCTTTCTCCCAGATTAAAAAAAAAAAAAAAAAAAGCCCCTCCCTTGCTTCCCTTTTTTAACCCTAAATTTTAGGTTCAGAAGTTTAATTACATATTTTTGGCATGTTGTCACTTTAACTTCTTTTCGTTTTTTGTTGACCCTTATTTAATTAAGACTATCTTTCCAACAAAGGGAAATTATTGGGAAAATGACAGAAATTAACATTTTATTTATTTATTGAATCTATCTTAAAACACTTGGCAACCACAAATCACCACCTAGGAACTGATGTAATACAGATGACTCATATATTCAACCTGGCCAGGAACACACACACACACACACACACACACGCACCAAACACAGACTCACTTCAAAAATTTTCTGGCACACTCAATAGCGGGGTGAAGGCCTGGGGAGGGGGTGGGAGCGAGGTGGAGGGGGTCAATTCGGGGGGGAAAATGGGACACCTGTAATGCTTTCAACAATAAAGATAATTTTTTAAAAAATTTCTAGCACTTTATCAACTTCACATTTTCAGTGAAATGCTTTTAACATTTACTCGAGATTATTTAGCAATAAACCACTTTCCAAACTTGAAATCTTGAGTCCTCCTTTTTAGGCCATCTGGCTTTAAACATATTTGTGAAATCATAGCTCCTTGGCTTCAAAGTAAGCTTCAACATGTCCAGTGAAAATAATCTACTTTTACCTAGCATTAGCATAAATTTTAACTATAACGGGGGGGTGGGGCTAATCAGGTCCCATTGCTAACAGTTTTCACAATTTTATGTCCTCTCCAAAAGGTAATGCATGGAGTACTCCTGCTGTTTCCCTATCTGTACAGCCACAGACTAACTGAAGATTTTCTTGGGGTGAGGAGCCAGTTTTCCAGCCATTAACACTTGTTCTCCAAGAATTTCAGTCACTACCAGGTACGTTGCACTCTCTGACTTAATCCTTAGAAATGGCTCCACTTAGGGTCATGCCATAGGGACATAATTTTACTAGGAAAACCCCTTATCAGATGTCACTTTAGCCCTTTTATTTCTCCAGGGAATTTATCCCTATTCTCTGGTCTCTCAGTTCAACTGTCAGGTTATTTTGTATTAACTCTTTGGGATCAGAGGTTCCAGGTCCATAATCCACAAAATTAGAATTCATGATTTAGGAGAAAAGGCCAGAAAGACATTTGAACCAAATTAACAAAAACAAAAAAAATCAATAAGAAACTACCAATCTTACCTCCCTAAAAGCTTTCCTGCAAGCTTAATTTAGGTGATGAGCACTTAGGGCAGTGCCTTCCCACTCAGAGGACTCTCACATTAAGGAACATAATTCAGAGAAAGATAATTTACATGAGGGGAGGGGAAAAAAACACCTTAAAAATAGAGCTCCTTTACACTGCTTTGGATATATGGGGGGAGGGGGAGCCCACTTGCCCTTATATTGCCCATGCATCTCAGTCCCTCATATAAAACCCTTTCTGGCCTAAATTTCCAATACCACATTCCCATGGAAATACTTTGTCTTCAATGAGGCATATTCCTGGGGATTCTAAATTCTACCTAAATGACCTAATCATACTAATCCAAATGGAAATTTCAGAACCTGAGGAATCTGTTTTCTGTCTAGTCTTTCCAAAATGGTCAAAGGAAATGAAAATAAATCTTCCTTGCTTGCTTTTGACTAAACTTTACTCATCACATATTATATCAAAACAGTACACATTCAGATAAAAAAAAAAAAAAGCCAGACATAAATCTAAAAACCAAATAGGTACACCTAGAATCCGTTTTAATTTTTACTCCCACACAAATATTGTATCACAGTGGTTCTAGGAATAAATGTTCCATACTCTTATCCTGCATTTTTCACTTTGCATCATAACAGTTTTCCTAAAGTTTACAAAATCTTCATATATAAGAGAAAGTGCTGCATGAAAGAGAATATAAAGTAGTGAGGAAATCATATTTTAAGATGATACACTGAAATACTGTTTCCAGCCTAATTTCTAACAACAGCAATTTTTCAACCTTCTTACCACCACCAGTGTTAGCATTCTCACTCTTTATTAGAAAAGGTCTGCCTCACTGGCAACCACTCCACTGCCTATTGTCCATTTAATGGTAATTCTCTCTGGTGCTCTCTGCAAGGAAAAGTGCCAACATTTATTATTTTGTTTGGGATGTGTCATAAAGACTGATTTTGCGTAGGGAATTGCTAAATAAAATGTGTGATCTATAACACCCTTTTCTTCTCCAGAAAAAATTTCCAGATACACAATAACAGATGACTAACAGAAAGCTTTTCTGCATATATTGACTTTATACTTGTTCTTTTCAGTACATGTGCTTCCTTGGAAGGGAGGCATGAAGGAATATACTCTGGCTAAAAAATTTCCAAACTAGTTACATTCATAGGGTTTCTCTTCAGTATGAGTTGCCTGATGCCTAATAAGCTTAGAGCTGTTAATGAAAGCTTTCCCACATTGATTACATGTAAAGGGTTTTTCTCCAGTATGTGTTCTTTGATGTACAATAAGTCGAGCACTCAAGCTGAATGTTTTCCCACATTGATTACATTCATAGGGTTTCTCCCCAGTATGAGTTCTCTGATGTTGAGTAAGGCATGAACTCTGCCTGAACGATTTCCCACACTGATTGCATTCGTAGGGCTTTTCTCCAGTATGAGTTCTCTGATGTACAACAAGAACATAACTCTGGCTGAAGGACTTCCCACACTGATTACATTCGTAGGGTTTTTCTCCTGTATGAGTTCTCTGATGCATAACAAGGTGAGAACTGCGGTTGAAAGATTTTCCACACTCATTACATTCATAGGGTTTCTCTCCAGTATGAGTCCTTTGATGTGCAACAAGCTGAGAGCTCCAGCTGAAGGATTTTCCACACTGATTACATTCAAAGGGTTTCTCTCCTGTGTGAGTTCTCTGATGGGCAACAAGTTTATAACTCTGACTAAAGGACTTTCCACATTGGTTGCACTCATAGGGCTTTTCTCCGGTATGAATTCTTTGATGTGCAATAAGTTTATAGCTCTGGATAAATGATTTCCCACATTGATTACATTCATAGGGCTTCTCTCCTGTATGAGTTCTTTGATGTGCAATAAGCTTGTAGCTCTGCCTGAAGGACTTCCCACACTGACTGCATTCATAAGGTTTCTCTCCAGTATGAGTTCTCTGATGAACAACAAGGACATAGCTCTGGCTAAAGGATTTCCCACACTGATTACATCTATAAGGTTTCTCTCCAGTATGAGTTCTCTGATGGGAAACGAGATGAGAGCTCCGACTGAAGGATTTCCCACATTCGCTACATTCATAAGGTTTCTCCCCTGTGTGAGTTCTCTGATGTGCAACAAGATGAGAGCTCCAGCTGAAGGATTTCCCGCATTGGTCACATTCAAAGGGTTTCTCTTCAGAATTTCTCATGTTTGGAGCAAGGGACGAATTCTCTGAGATTTTACTACATTTATATTGACTATCTTCAACAGGAATTCTCGGTTGTTCATTATGGGGTATGCTGTGGTTTAAAAGTTGCCCACATTCCTTAACATCAAAGGGTTTTCCTCTTGCATGTATTTTCTCATGTATATTTAGAGGTGTACCATGGCTAAAAGATTGAATAGTGTTGCTAAATCCATAGGATTTCTCTTCTGTTTGAGTTCTTGTAAACTGAATAAGGTGAATGCTCTGGGGTTTTTTCCCATATTCATTATTTTCACATAGTTTATCACTGTCATTAATCATCTGACGACTGTTAAAAACAGAATAATGTAATTTTTTAACATGTGAGGCATGTTTATGAAAATGGTTTCTTATGGCTATCATCTGGGGTGAAAGACTGGAATTCAGACCACTCTTCTCAAGTTCATCACTTTTGCAGACCCTCTCATGAGTAACAGCATTCTTTTGAGTGAATGCCACTTTCTTCAAAAGTCTTTCTTGTATTTCCTGTTGCTTCTCCAACTGGTCCTTACAAACCCAAACTTCTTCACATGAAGATAACCAAGAATCATCTCTTGTCAATGTTTCTAACTTTACTCCATTGGATGGCTCATTGTCAACAATTCTCTGCTTTGATGCTGATTCTCTTCTTCCAAGTGCAGGTGCCAAATCTAGAAGAAAGCAAAATAAAATATCCAAGCCAAAAAATGTTAGAGTTGGAATAGTGGAATAATGCTGATATGAAAAGATGTAAAATACATGTAGATTTGTTTTCAGCTATTATAACCTGGATTGAGAAGAAAGATGGTGGGATGAAGCAGTAAGCAGAGAACTACCAAAGCCCAATAGTATAACATGGCATTAGGATGGAACAATTTAATTTTAGTTTTACTGAAAATATAAGACTTTAGCCATCAAATCAAAAACTCCATGTTCCAAAATAAGATCACCTATAGACTAAAAGAATCACAAAACAATTTTGCAATTCTTAGCAAAGTAATAAAGGGTCCTTTCCACCCTCTTAAGTGCTAAACACATGTTCACTGAAATAGAAATTAGTGTCTACATTTCTAGGAATTTATGAAGGCATGAAACTTGCTAGCATAGCCTATGTCAGTAAGACATGATCAAATGACAACTGTGAACCAGGAAAAAGAATGGGTAAATGTCATCCCAGAGTTCCCTAAATGCCTTAGGGGCTAATATGGCCCCACAGATTCCTGTGATTCCAAGAGAGAATGGAGGTTAGCCCATAAGCAGAAGCCTGGGCGGCTAAGTCAAGCATTAGAGAGTACCTGGAAAAGTGGTGGTGTATACTGTCCACTAGAAGGTGGGAAATGAAAAATTTGGCATGCCCTATTGGGATTTTTTAATCAAACTTTCTATACCTATGGTGACTTATTTATGTCTGTTTCTCACCAGGATATGTGTGTTGGGAACTTATTTTTATACTCATCCCATTGCTCCAACTAGAAAATTGTGTCTGGTTTGAAAAGTTGGCAGGGAAAGACATAGGACTTTGGGTGTCTGGGCTGGAGACAAAAGAAAATTATTGCAGAATTTTGGTCCAGTCTTTGGCATTTGGGAATCATGAAGATTTAAGCAAGCTCAAACCCAAGAAGCTGTACCTTTTCTACCCTACAAATTAAAATTAAATCTTCACTAAGAAATTAGAAGCACAAACAAAATCTATGTGTGGCCAAAGTCAACATTACCTCTGAACTCCATAACTCTTAATCAGTGCAAACAAGAAATAATTTCAACATGCAGACTTCATTAGAGGGGACCATATCCTTACCCCAAGAGACCAAGTCCCTGTGGTTCTCAAGGATTGCATCTCTGTCCAGGGTCCTCTGAGCAGGATTCAAAATGTCTTCTTCCTGAGTGAAGTCCACAGTCACAATTTTGAAGTTCACTCCTTCCTAAAACAGGACACACATTCCTGCTCAGCTGGGCATAATTTCCTTCTAATGTTCATAGAGAAAGAAAAGTTTGACAGATGGAAGAAAGAAAACTTGATGGCCTGGAAGTTGTACTGAGATAGTCAGTGTTCAAAGGATTCTAGTTAAGGTGTACATGTGTTTTCTAGGTGAGCCCCCTTGGATTTTGGATGTTGGATCTGTTTTACAACCCAAAGAGGAACACCAGATAAGAACTAATATAAATTTTCTCTCTTTTACACTGGTATACAGAATTCCCACAGAGGAATTCGCTCCAAATTCCTAAGAAGCTAACTGAACAAGGATCAGTAAGCTTTTTCTATTAAAGAGCAAAGAGTAAATATTATAGGCTTTGCAAACTACAGTCTGTCACAACTACTCAGCTGTAGCAAGATAGCAGCCAGACAAAATAAACAAATGGGTGTGGCTTTATTATAATAAAATTTTATTTACACAAATAGGTGGTAGGCCACATTTGGCCCACAGGCTCTACTTTGCTGATGCCTTAAGTAGAAGATGAAATGTGGGCCTTAATGAAGTAGAGATTAAGAGCACTGGATTTGGAAGAAAAGAGACTTGGGTTTTCTCACATATAAACAGTGTATGTCTGAATTAAAAAAAAACAAACTAATGTGACAATCTGTGTTTTAATGGTGAGTTTATTCTATTTCTATTTATTAGGCTTAATCATACCCAACTCATTGGATTGTTGTCAATTAATTGTGATGATATATATAAAGCCATTAGTAATTATTATTGTCTGAAAACTCTGAGAAATTAAGTGACAGCTGATGTGACCTTTACCCTGACCCTTCAGTCTTCAGATGACAGTTCTATTTCTTTTGTCCACACAGACCTGCACCATAGGGCCTTTAGGAGATGTTCAGTCATTAGTGCCATATAAAAAGGACTGCCTTCTCTGAGCAGAAAAGGACCTATTTTCAAAACTACTGGGCAGGAATTTTTATCCAAAAAAGAAGTGCTGAGAGTGATCTGATCTTACCCAAAGGCAGCAAAAGCCAGGGAAGTAAAATGCCACTTACCCCTAAAGGCTTTTAAAATAGACCAGGTGTTATTATGCTGTAATTCACGAATAAGACACAGGCTCTGCGAATCCCAAGGAGTTCTATGCAAAATGCTGCTGTACTGTATTTTTCTATGTTGGGGCCATAAATTTCACCAAAGTCTCAAAGGTTTTCATGATTAGCCCAAAATGGGATTGAGAAATGTCATTTGCAAACTGCGACTTCTGTTGAATATGGATCTACAGTACTGTTTTCCAACCTCTAATCCATGCTTCCTTTTAAAAAATACATACTCCTCTTTGCTACTTAATGTAGGTACCTTTAATATCAAGCTTATTCAAATATCAGATAAATACTAGACTAGATTAGCACCTCCCAATCAATCCCAGCTATATGTTCTCAAAGTTCCACACTTTCTTATCATCTGCATAATGGTCATCTTTGTCACTAGGCTACAGTCCATGAAGGCAAGTACAAGGTATTTATAGTTTACAACTGTAACTCCAGTGCTTAGCACTGTGTTGGTATATAATAAATACTAAATATATATTTGGTAAATTATGTCAATACATGAATCAATAGAATTGATAGACTTTATATCAGAATATAAATTCTGACTTAGGTCTTCTTCTCGCACCTGAAACTCACAGGGCCTATCACATATCCATTTGAAAAAGTCCTTCAGTATGTGGATACTGGCTTTTCTGAACTTCTAGCCCCACTTATTCTATTCTGCCTCACCTCGCCCCAACTCCCCACTCCTCCAAATCCCTTCCAGAACCCTTCAACTGTGCCCTCAGGAACTCATCTTCTATAATAATGAAATCCTATAGCTTCAACATCTCCACCAAATATTCCCTCTATATCCCTATGTTAATGGAAACCTATCTTCCTCCCCTGTGGACTCCTTCCTTCATAGTCCTCACAAGCTTAGGTTAGTCATGCTCTCCCATCCCACGGTCTCAGCATCAAAGGAGGAGGGTGTGAGTCCTCTCAGTTATACTGAACCTCTTATCATTTACCTCACTTCTTGAAAGAGCTTTATCCTACCAACCTCTTGAACCACTCCCCTAACCCCTGAAGACTTATAATACCTATGATTCACCTCCCCATTTTATGAACTTGTTTCATCTTCCATTGTCTATAACAATTTTCAACCTTTGTCATCTCTTGGCATACATAAACTAATTACTAAAATTCTGTGGAACACCAAAAAATATATTTTTGCCAATATGACATAAAAAGGTATAATCCTGATTGACTTGCAAAAAGAATAGTAGTAATTACCTACTGTTTTTGCTCCAAAGTGACTTTTAAAAAAAATCAGGTACCTATACTTGTTAGGATTTTTGGTACCAAGAATTAACCAGAAGCAACCTTACTGTGCTATGTGACTAATAAGATACAACTCTATTATATGACCTATATATTTATGGTTCAAGACAGGGCATTCACACTGGATAGCTACTGTTGTGTTGGCTGTTGTCATTTTTTAATTTGACAATCTAAAGGAAAAGAAGTCAGTGCTCCTGACTAGTCAGTTATTGCATGTTTTAAAAATTCTTGTGGCACACCAATGTGCCAGCCATAGCACACTGGTTGAAAAATCACTGGTCTATAGCATCCACTTGTAGAGTTCTCTGATAATACCATAAAAATAAATGACTTTAATGAAGCACTTACTGTGTTGATGTATAGTAAATACTAAATGCATCATTCATTTAATTCTTACAAGGTCCCTGTGAGAAAATTCTATTAGTAGCACCATTTTTTCAGACAAAGGACTAAAGAAATTAATACATATGCCTAAGGTTGGTAGTTGGACTACAACTTCAAGGTTGCTTGACATGAAGAATTGTGTTCTCAGTTATCAATTTACATGGCTTGCCAAACTCCCAGACCCTAGAATTGCTCTTCAGTACTCCACTCTTAGGGTGAGACCCCAGACTTAACATAAAGTACTCCATCTCTCAAGTCACACACATAGAACTGCCTATTCTTTCATTACATCAGATTAAAAACACTTTTTTCAATTACTGTTTACATTCAATATTCTTTTGTATTAGTTTTTGGTGTGCAGCACAGTGATTAGACAATCATATACTTTTTGCAAAGTGGTTCCCCCCAATATTTCCAGTACCCACCTGGCACTGGAAATACATAGTTGTTACAATATTATTGACTATATCCCCTATGCTGTATTTTACATTCCTGTGACTATTTTGTAACTACCAATATGTTCTTCTCAATCCCTTGGCTTTTTCACCCAGTCCCCTAACCGCCTCCCCTCTGGCAGACTTCTCCACTTTACCTGTTCAATTACTCCCTTTACCTTTCTCATCCTTGGATGGTTTGGGTCCATTACTCTATAAAAATGTCTACTACTACTATCTACCAGTCTATATTCTTTTCCTTTCTAGTTAGTATCCTCTTCATCTTTTCCATCTTAATTATTCAGTTTAGAGTCCAGGGACCATTCATTTTAATCCTACTAAATACATTCAAAAATTCTCTTTCAGATATTACCTTGACCTATGGGGCTTCTACTGAATGCTTGTGGCTACAAAAACTAAACAAATCTGAATGTCAGTCTACCTAATCTATGAAAAGTAAGTTACAGAATGCCCCCCTTTGGGGGGGGGGGTACCAACAGAAGTAGCTGGACAGTGTGTTATCAACTAAAAGTCACTATCTTGGATAGGTCCCTTCAGACCTCCCAGCAACCCTGATATGCCTCCTGGAGCAGTTTGTTCGCCCATAACCCAAAATTACTATTTTAAGACTTTTCCATACTTATCAACTATCTCTCCATTCCAATCCCCACCTTCATGCCCAACAGATAACTCCATGTACTTGTTCAGAGACAAATCCAAGCTTTCACACAACTCCCTCAACCTCACTCATCCTTTATAAACCAATTTATTCACATATTCCCCTGGCACTAATCAAGGACTCTGCTTTATAGTTTTATCTTCTCTCTCTCCTGATTATTAATTTTTCCCCCACTAACTCCTTCCTGCAACCACTTAGGAGTCAAATCTTTTCAGTCCTTTAAGGAAAAAGAAAAGCCCTTCAACTTCAAATTTCCTGACATCTATCACTCTCTTCAATCTTTCACATGATCACCAAATTTCTGTAAAAGTTATCCATTCTAACCTCCATTTCCATCACTTTCTACTCACTTCCAAGTTCACTTCAATCTGACTTCTGCCATCAACCAGCCACACACATTTCTCAATGTAAAGAGACCATGTGTCCAACTCACCTGGGATGGGATGGCCAGTGACCCAGAATCTTCTCTCTCAACCTTGATGATAATCTCTTGAGGAAGGAGAGAGTCCTGAGAAGGTAAAACAGATGAGAAAAAGGAAAATAAAGGGAGCTAAGTCACAGTTCAAAACTCTCATTGTGAGTAGGCTTCCACCTTGACATACCACCTGTTTTAATGCACCCTACCGATCAAACATCTGCTCCCTCCCATTGATAAGCTCAAGAGAGCCATGTGGACAGAGAGGGGACATCTGGAGAGGCACTGAAACATCAGACATGGGCACGAGGTCTTTGTGGATCTTCCACGCCAGCCCAGCTACTAGCTGAATGATTCCAGGCACTGTGTAGATGAAAAGATTTGTCCAGTTGGTCCCTTCCTGAACTCCTGGGTCTCGGAATTGTAAGCAAATAAGACAGAATACAGCATGACCAAAGAAGGATCAAGAAAAAACCCCAGTAATTTAGCTTAATAATACATTTGGCAAAAAGCATCACCAGTAAAGGCACCAGTAACAAAAATCCACAGTTAAGACTTCTTCCAAGTCACTAAGGTAACCTCGATAGAAAAGTAGACAAAGGGAAATGCAATGCAGCTCAACTATGAAGAAGTAAAATGGCCAGTGAATATATAAAAAGATGCTCACCTCTTTAAATCAAATAAAACTAAATCTCTATTTCTATCATTATCTCTACATATTAGAGACCATAAATTCACACTGGTACCTCCAAGTACAATTAAACACATTTTATTCTAGCCTTGCTGTTTTCCATATTTGTGCCTTCCTTCTCCTGCTCCCATTATCTATTCTGTATTTACTGGCTTGCTAAAAGCCCCTGTATGTAACCAAAATCCCAACAGTGTGGAGTGTTTCTTCTGCCTGTTGCTAACAGTTCCTCCTGCAGTGGCCCACTGGTCAAGAGCTTCTTAGTAGAAGTTTAAATTGATTCAACCTTTCTGGACTGGCTATATATATAATCCTCACTTGAGAATATGTTTTTATTGATTTTAGAGAGAGAGAGGAAGGGAAAAAAAGAAACATGGATATGAGAGAGAAACATCAATCGGTTGTCTCCCATATACACCCTGAACAGGGATCAAACCCATAACCTAGGTATGTGCTCTAAATGGGAGTACCTCCAACATTTTTGTTGTCTGTTTTTCTATACCTGCAACTTTTTTGGTGTACGGGACAATGCTTCAACCAACTGTGCCACCCAGCCAGGGCTGGACTGGCGGTATATATATACTTTTAAATTTTTATTTTAAAGAGAGAGGAAGGGAGAAGGGAACATCGATTGGTTGCCTCCTGTACGTACCCCGACTGGGGATTGGACCTATAACCTGAGTATGTGCCCTGACCAGGAATCAAACCTGCCACCTTTCGGTATATTGGAGGGCCAAATTCGGAAGACCAAAATATATGTCTCAGATATATCTGGTCTTCACCCACAGTTCCTAGCTATAGCTCCTTAGAATCTCCTCTCTTGCTGTGTTAATGAAGTGACTCTTGGACCCCACCCAAGGGTGGTAGCTGGTTGCCTGCAGGAGCCAATATCATTAGAGAATTAGAACTTTCAGCCCCACCCTGATTTCCAGGGAAAAGAAAGGGGCTTGGGATTGAATCGATCATGACTATATAATGAAGGCTCTATAAAAACCCCAAAGAACAGTTCCTTAGTCCCTTTTTTTGGACAGCTTCCATACTGGGGAACTAGGATGCTTCCATGAGCCACCTTGTTGGGCCAGGCTACACGAGGACAGAAGCTCCTTCATTCAGGATCTGGCCTCATGTATCTCTTCATCTGGGAGCTGATTCGTATCCTTTAATATCCTTTGTAATAAATACGTAATCTAGTAAGTAAACGAGTTTCCTGATTTCTGTGAGCTGTTCTAGCAAATTAATCAAACCCAAAGAGGGGTCATGGGAACCTGCGGTTTTTTAGCCAGTCGGTCAGAAAAGCACAGATAACAATGTGGCTTGCAGCTGGCACCTGAAGTAGAAAGTGGTGGTGTAGGGCTGAGCTCCTTACCTCTGGAATCTGATTCTATCTCTGGGTAGATAGTGTCAGAATTGAGTTGAATTCTCAAGACACCTTGCTGGTAGCAGATAACTGCTTGTTGGTGTGAGGAAGCCTACATGTCTACACACACACACACACACACACACAGACAAGTATTGGGTCTGGAAACCCCTTTCAACCCCAAACTGCTAATGGACTCAACCATATTATGGAAACTCACTGCAAAGAGAAATCACATTTGTAACATGTGACAATGCCAGACATGTCTTTTCTTGCCACAGAAGTTGGCGTTGAATTCTAACAATTTAAGGATCAGAAGTTAACTCATCCTGTAACAATTTTAAAAACAAACAAACAAAAAACTTGGGAAATTAGAGTTTCTCAAGAAAGGAAAACACTAGACTATAGTTTAAATTATTACACACTTTCCGTTTTTGTGTTTTGTTTTGAAACAGCTAAGATCAATTAAAAACAGTGCCAAAGAACGAAGTTAGAATCGAAACAATGTTTGTAACTCAGCAGGTACTCAAACAGAAAGAAAACTCCAAAATGATCCTTATCTGCCACAACCACTAAAACAATTTTACTTGGGGAACATGGGTGCACCTTCTCTTTAATCAAAATCGTGTTCAACACCTTTTGGCTTAAAAGTTTTTACAGGGAAGCTCCAGCTGGGTGGCTCAGATGGTTCGATTCCTAGTCAGGGCACATACCTAGGTTGCGGATTTGATCCCTGGTTGGGCACGTATGGAGGCAACCGATTGATGTTTCTCTCTCTCTTCCTTTCTCTCTCTCTAAAAAGCAATAAAAACATATCCTTGGGTGAGGATTTTTTTTTTAAATTTTCACAGAAAATAAAAGAGAGATGAGTTCTGCTCACAGTCAATTCTGCATCAAATATCCTTTCCTGCCCTCACACAAACAGTCCATTCTGCCACTTTACCTGCTTTTGTTTCTATACCTTTGTTTTTTAATTCCACTTCCACTAGAGTGGAAAAAAGCTAAGCTCTCCTGTTCACCATGGTTTCACTGGGCTTAAATCAGTACTGACACACAGTAGGCACTTCCCAAATGTGTGTTGACAGTAAAACAACCACTGAGAAAAGGGGCAAGGGATGTGCTACACATTTGCCCCTGTGGTTCCTGAAGTCACCAAATCATGCTGAGCTCAAGTCCCTCCTCTGGCCAGAAGAAACCTTTTTGGGAGCCCTTCTCAGAAAATTCAAAGCATCATCCTCCAGAACCTACTCCCAACTTTCTCTCTCTCAAACTAAATGCTCAAAAACCATCTTGTTACAAAAGTGTGTGAACACACACACACACCTACACCTACACTCTTTCTAGCCACTTTGGGTTACTGACTGTTTTAGGAATGCCTCCTGTATTTACATCTTATTTATATCTTAGCTCCTACCATCTAACTTTTGCCTGCATTTAATAATACACAGAGTACTTCAACATAGAATATTTCACACAATTATCTAATTTATTTTGAAGGAGATCAAGTTCACCAACACAGAAATTAATGGTAATAAAGTTTAGCAAATTCATTTAAGTCCATGGAGCTCACTAGGGATGGTCCATACACTGACTGCCTGATCCGCACTCCTCCCCTTTCCACTGCCCCACAGCTCAAGTCTGATCATTCAAGCCCTCCATCAAGTGCCACCTCTTTCATAAAGTGGTCCCAGATAGCGTAAAGTCTCATCTCTTCTCTCCTTAGGATTTCTTAGCTGTTTTTATTAAACCTTACTGATCTAGTAAAATCATTCTTCTTGTATTACTTCTTTCTATATACCTCTTCCCTGGGTCATGAATTCTATACTATAAAAAACTGTATTTTTCAACTTTGTACTCTCCTCAATATTGAGTTATCTGAATTTAACAGGACTAGAGATGTGTGCAAGTTGGGATATATGAATGGAATTAAAAGCCTTTACCCCCACTTCTGCATGCTCTGGACTCCCTCTGCTATTTTATTTTGCAACCTTGGAGGTATACTTAACAAATAGAAATTGTATATATTTAAGGTGTACAATGTGATGTTTTGATTATACATATAAACTGTCGAATGAGCACCACAATCAAGCTAACACATCCATTACCTCACACAGTTATGGTTCTTTTGTATGGTGAGAGCACTTAAGATCAACTCTCTTAGCAAACTTAAAGTTCACAGTACAGTATTGTTAACTTTAGTCACCACGTTGTACATAGGCCTCCAGAACTTACTCATCCCATCTAACTGAACCTCTGCATCCTGAGACCAACACTTCCCCATGTCCCCAACCCTCCAGACCCTGGCAGCAACCATTCTACTCTCTGTTTTTACAAGCTTGACTGTTTTAGACTCCACATACAAGAAAGATCATGCAGTATCTGTCTCTCTGTGTCTGGCTTACTTCACTTAGCATCTGTCCTGGAGCATTTTAAAATCATCTTTTTTGTTCAGCAGTCACCTCTCCATGTAATGAAGGAACAGTCTCCTTTTTTCTTTGCATACTTTACAGAATGGAAACAGGAATCAGACTGTTGACTTCCACACAGAGAAGAGTCTTAGGCAGAAGATAAGAACTGTTCTCTCTGTGACACGGGTGGGACCACATGTGACCCAGAGTAGAGGAACAGAGACAAGCAGAGGTATCATGGAGTGACCTGCTCACTTCACGTCAGCCTATAGTCAAATCAGACCTAGGACTGCAGGTCAGGAGGGGCCAAAAGCCCCCAAAACACTGCAGACAGCGGGACAGATCCCAAGCCCAGAGGGTTGGGCTGTGGGGCCTGGGTGGGAGCAAGCTCTGGGTCTCCAGGTGAAGGGAAGCTCACTCACCTGCACACAGGCCTTCAGGGGCCCTGGGGGCTTCTCCTCCTGCTCTTCCATGCTCTCCTTCCCACAGAGGGCAGAACCGGAGGTCCTGAGCTGCAAGGGGAGAAACCCTGCAGGGTTTCTGGGGCTCTGGGATTGATGGCCCTGAACCACACACTCCCTGACTACATGCAGGAAGCTCGTGACACAGCCTGACCCTTCCCAGGATCCTACCCTCCCATTACCCAGGCCTGAGCCTCCAGCAACCTGTCACTGATTGCTTCCAACTTCCTGCTCAAATAGCCAAGCATATGCACAGAGCTCAGCTGCCCCCAGACCTGGTCCCTGCCCCATTCTGGGGTAAGCCAGCCCCTACCAGCGCTAGCCCAGGTTCCCACCCCAAAACCCTCCTGGGTCCTGAATTTGTAGCTCTGACCTGGTCCCTACACCAACCTGGATGTCCTCAGGCCTGAACTGGCAACAGAAACAGCACAGCACTAGAAGCCTCCTGACAGACCCCAGCACACGCCAGCCCCTCCCAGGCCCAGATTTTGTACTTCATTTGTCTTTATACCAACTAGATGTTTCTGGGCTAGAGACTAGAACAGCCCCTGGCAAATCCCACCCTATGCATCCCACTCCCACCCCATCTCTCCCTCTTACCCACACCCTCACCCCCACTGGATTCTCATCAAACACTACAGTGTGTCACAGTGCACCTGTATCCTGAACCTGCACCCAAACTGTTTCCTCCACCAATCTCCACAGGCCCCTACTTGAGCCACAACTACCTAGATTCCTGTGCAAACATCTCCCTGGGTAGCTGGCAACTCAGGAAGTTCGTTTTTCTACTAACCTAGGCATCATCAGGCTGATTGGGGTGCCATCTGCACAATGACCCCAGCATCCTTTGTCTAATACCCACCTCCAGCCTCTTGTTTTTTACCCAAACACCTGTGCCTGTGCAGAGAGAACTGGTACAACTCTACCCCTCTGCAGCCCAGAATCTGCAGCTGTTCCCTCTATCCACCTAGGACTGCCCCTGAGTCCCCATCCTGACCAAATGCCAGCGCATGTGCAGAGTGCAACTGGAGCAGCCCCAAGACAAGAATCTCTAGCTCCAAAATGGGGGACCCAGGCTTCTACTCCAGGGTCCTGTCCTGGCTCTCTGCAGGGACCACTGCACAGAGGCTACCCACCCAGGTCCTCTTGCTGGCATACACAGGGCAGGCTAGTGCCCAGAACCTGCATCCAGGACCTGGGCCCTCTGCCAGCCTGCAGGTCTTGTGCAGTCCCTGCTCTTCAGATGAGAATCTGTATCTCTCATTCTGTGCCTAAACCTACCTGAGACACAAAAGGAACCTGCAAGTCTCCGTGAGGGTTCTGGGGTCACCTGCGTCCACTGCCTGCTTGCCGCCAAAACATCAGAACACCCAAATAGTAGCTTGAGCATCGAGCTCCAGAAGCAGCCCCAGGACTTAAGCATTGGCCTGGGGTTGTCAAACCCATGAGAGACCAGCTCCCATGGAAACTGGGACCTTCCACTTCCTCCCACCCAAACCTGAACACCCCAAACGTGAGGTGCCATGCTGAATACAGCCCCTTCTAGGTCCAAATCTGCAGCACAGACCCTGTCCCTCTACAAACCTGGGCATGCCTGTGCCTGTAAGCAGAGTAGCTCCTGAGCAAAGGTCCCAGGAACACCTACTTCATAATCATGCTGGCAGCACCTTGCTTCCTCCCCAAACAGCTGCCCATCTGATGGCAGCTGCTGCAGCTCTGTCCTTCCGGGGCTCCAATTCTGTACCTCCAACCCAGCATCTCCATCAAACCTAAATGCCCTAGGGCTCTGCACGATCCTACGAGGGTCCCAAGAATACCAGTCAATTCCTGCCTTCTGTTCAGAAGCCCCCGCC